CTGTGATTCCGTATCCCGTTGTCGCTTTAAATCCGCTTCACATTTTTGGGCTGAGTGCGCTATGAAAGTGTCGGTCAAATCCCACTATTAGATCAGACAAGTGTTTACGGTGAGTGATGTTAACTATCTACGTTCCAACTTGTTTATCAATTCAATATTAGTTACGGCTATGCGCAGATAGCCTTTTTATAGCTTTGCGCGAAATCTGAAACAGAAAAAAAAAAGATCGGATGTGACACAGCTTTCTTAGGTTCGCCACTGTGATTTTGTTAATAGTTAAAATGGAATGGTATCCAGTCTTGTTAATAGTTAAGACAACCAATTCGTAACATAAAATGGTATCCAGTCCAAAGCTCTAAACTTGCAAGGCTTAAGTATATAAAAATTTATTTCTTAAAATACTTCGTCCAAAAAATTCAAAAGTAATAGAGAAACCTTGAAACTTTATCCAGAAATTCTTTAGACGTTCTTAATTATTTCAGTTCAAAACAATCAATAGAAACCTAACTAATACAGGGCGGGAGTATAAAGACAGCAAGTACTGTACGAGATACACAACAGAATTTTATATATCAAATAACAATCGAAGGTAGTAGCACTTGATGTATGTGAATGTATAGTATAGAAACAGCACAAGTAAATATATTTCACTTTTACAAATGCCAAAAACCATGTCATTTATCCAATTTTATAATGTCTTTTCTCATCACTAGATACTCTGTTGTACTGCAGGGGATCAGAGCTGGGCCAACATCGATATAAATATAATAGTACTGTCTGTTGTATGTCCATGTGACTACTTCGCAGGGTGTGGACGGATCTTAACCAAAATTGGTATGGAGGTTTGTTAAGTCCATGTGGGGGTACATACTAATTTTCAGGTTTGCATTTTGCGTTTTGTGGTTTTTTACTACTACCTCATCTCCTGTGGATGGGTCTTCACCAAATTTGGTATGGCGGTTCATTGGGTACATGGAGAGATACATACAAATTTTCAGTTTCACATTTTGTGTCTTGCAGTTTTTATGGGCGTTTTTTACAATTACATATAAGGGAAACAACTTTTCATGTCCTAAGATAACCTTTCATTAATCATGAATGTACATAACTCCCGTCCAGGGAACGGGTTCTCTAGCTAGTTGTTTAATATAATAATTCATCTATAAACTGAACAGGATTTTCCCCTCTGCAATAATTGATACAATTTTTTTAGAGAGAGGAAGGATACAGAAATGCTTTGAGCAGTGATTCTTTTCTTTTTAACAGTCACTCTACAGGGAATATCATGCAACATGAGTAATTGGAGATTAGACCAAAACACTGATTGAGTCTTAGGTGAATCAATAAATTTTATCCATTTGAAATTAGGTCAAGTAGAAAATTAGTGTTGGTGATATGTAAGAATGTTAAAGTTTTTGTTTTAATCATAATAGCTTGAAACTCATACTATGCTGCTACAATTTAAACTTTTATGAAAAAAAAATGTTCCTTATCAAAACTTAACACAATTTCTGGTTACTATTTATGAATATATTGCTGTTTAAAATTAAGAACTGTTTTTATTATCCTAAGTAGACTGATATTTGGTTTTCTAACCTGAACTGTATCATTCTGAGTAGGCTGGCATTCAGTATCTTCAACCTGAACAGTATTACCATCAGTAGACTGATATTTGGTATTTTCAACCCGAACAGTATCATTCTGAGTACGCTGGCATTTGGTATCTTCAACCTGAACAGTATCATTTGAGTAGGCTGGCATTTGGTATTTTCAACCTGAACAGTATCGTCCTGAGTAGGCTGGCATTTGGTATCTTCAACCTGAACAGTATCATCCTGAGTAGGCTGGAATTTCGTATTTTCAACCTGAACAATATAATCCTGAGTAGTCTGGCATTTGGTATTTTCAACCTGAACAGTATCACCCTGAGTAGGCTGGCATTTGGTATTTTCAACCTGAACAGCATCATCCTGAGTAGGCTGGCATTTGGTATTTTCAACCTGAACAGTATCATCCTGAGTAGGCTGGCATTTGGTATTTTCAACCTGAACAGTACCTTATGCCATACATAGGCTAGGCAAACAGGTCAGGGACCCTAAGATTTAGACGTTACTAACTTAGAACTGCAGACCGGAGGGAAGGCGAACAGTCAGTAGCACACGCCGCCTAATATACATCTATTCTTAACCAAAATGATGTTATGATACCCCACAGCTGAAAATGCTGAACTTCTTCTATGGCATACCTAAGCTCGAACCTTAAACCTTCAGCTTTACAACCTTGAATGCTAACTGCTAGCCCACACATAGTCCCAACGAGTCTGAGACGGCGAATTACCAGTTCATTCATGGATTATATTGCGTTTGTTAATGAGCATCACTAATTATTGAACTTTTCGTAAAGCATATATGTTTGTAAATTGGAGTGAGTTACAGAACTCCCAAAATTTAAATGCTATGCAACAGATTGTTATGCAACAGTTCTAATGTTTATCGTAAATTATACGAATTACATTTTGTGGCGAGACATACTTATGGGTATGTATTTGGGTATCGATAAAATACAAAATATTAACTTATTAAGCCAAACCACGCAATATGTGTGTGTGTATATATATATATATGTATATTCATATATATTAGCGAAAGTACCCTGCTTCGCATGGGTTATTAGGTTGATATATTTGAAAGTGAAAAGTAAAGAAAGGACAGTAAATTAAAAATTGTTTATTATCAATGAACTTTTTCATCGTTAAATATTTCAGATTTATATTAGATATCACAAACTCCTGACACGTTTTTGTTACTTAATGAGATGTGACGTCACTTACTGAGATGTAACGTCACTTACTGAGATGTAATATGACTTACTGAGATGTAACGTCACTTACTGAGATGTAACGTCACGTACTGAGATGTGACGTCACTTAATGAGATGTGACGTCACTTAATGAGATGTGACGTCACTTACTGAGATGTAACGTCACTTACTGAGATGTAACGTCACTTATTGAGATGTAATGTCACTCGAAAGACATATGAAATTAAGAAATTCAAAAGAGTCTCGAAAGTTCTTTTAACTCGCAACACCTTCGCTACTCATTTGTTTAACATTAAAAATATGTGAACAGAGTATTCTGATTGAATAATACACTAGTAAAGCTGGTGAAACACATCTAAAAACTCATTGAAAAGAGATGGTGAACAAACTTCCCAGTTACATCCTTCAAGACCATTGTAGTCAGCAATATAGAGATGGTGAACAAACTTCCCAGTTACATCCCTTAAGACCATTGTAGTCAGTAATATAGAGATGGTGAACAAACTTCCCAGTTACATCCTTTAAAACCATTGTAGTCAGCAATATGGAGACACAGAACAATCTTCCCAGTTACGCCCCTCAAGACCATTGTAGTCAGTAATATAGAGACACAGAACAAACTTCCCAGTTGCATCCTTCAAGACCATTGTAGTCAGCAGTATAGAGATGGCGAACAAACTTCACAGTTACATCCCTTAAAACCATTGTAGTCAGCAATATGGAGACACAGAACAATCTTCCCAGTTACGCCCCTCAAGACCAGTGTAGTCAGCAATATAGAGATACAGAACAAACTTCCCAGTTACGCCCCTCAAGACCAGTGTAGTCAGCAATATAGAGATGGTGAACAAACTTCCTAGTTACATCCCTTAAGATCATTGTAGTCAGCAAATAGAGATACAGAACAGACTTCCCAGTTACGTCCCTTAAGACCATTGTAGTCAGCAATATAGAGATACAGAACAGACTTCCCAGTTACATCCCTTAAGATCATTGTAGTCAGCAATATAGAGATACAGAACAAACTACCCAGTTACATCCCTTAAGATCATTGTAGTCAGCAATATAGAGATACAGAGCAAACCTCCCTGTTACATCCCTTATAACCATTCACAGACATGTGAGCCCCGAAGATGTCTGTGGACAGTGTTTGAAGGTTTAGACAAGAAGTTTGCGTTTTATCTAGGATCTATAATGTAACGTAAGTGAGGAACCAGTAAAAACAAACGACTTCACACTTATTAAGTCGTAATAAGCACAAGAAAATAATTATGAAATGTAACAGGAAATACATAAGCTGTTACATACATATTAATAAGATCTATAGTATTTTTACACTGTTCCAAAAACCAACCTAACTGTGATTTTATATTTTCCATTGATCAGTATACGGTAAGTACTCGTGTCAATTATATCATGAATCAGATGCAGGCGAGTGATGACATTCGCGATACTGCTCATATACATGTTTCGGAGTTTTCATCTTTTTCTGTTTATTGGGTCCAATCCATAGGTCATGGCCGTATGAGTGGTTTGAGCCCCATAGTAATGCTATATAAAATATTTAACTTGTACATAGCTTATTATTCAGTTAGTAAATGTTTATCTACTGTGTAGCATCTCCGGTTCGTAACGAACGTTATATTTAGTTGAGGTCACAGTTTTAGAGATTCATATATGATATCAATGTGGATCCTTCAGAACTTCTTATTAAAGACCGACATTAGAGAAACACATTTTGCAAATTTCTCTGGTTATAAGTTGTTCAGAGCTTATAAAAGTCTCATATTCCTGAGATTTTCAGTTTTTAAATGATGTTTGTTTTTTTTGTTTGTTATGTCAAACAAAAAGAAAGTCACGTGCCATAAAGTTTTACAGATAGTTAGTTGAGAAAGTATTAATGGAAACAATACTCTCCAACAGAAATGCACAATCTGACAACAAAGTTTCGTGTACTCCAGCTTATCTAATGACCAGCGTTTCCAGCGAGATTACGAACGCTTTGGAAATAAACAGTATTATAATATTAAAAAGTACTCCAAAAGTGTTACTTTCAAGCTTGACAGTATAAAACACGTAAAAATAGGGTTGACAGAGAATATTAACCTACTTTTTCTAGGCTGGGAGACATTAGTTATTGGCCAGAGGCGAAACTTTAAATAAAAAAGTGACAAAGAGTATTAACTTAAACTGCTTTCATCTAAGCTGGGAGACATTTCGTCGTTAGTTGTTGACCGGAAGTCTGATGAGTCTGTTGCTGGTCTAGTGGCACCTATAACTGCTGCAGTAGCAATGGAGGCTAAGGCAGCACTGGCACCTGATTTTGTAAACCGCATACTATGACAGTATGATCCAGACGTGGTACTTTGCTTTCCAACTGGCCTAACGTTTTTGTAAGGTTGGTAGAGACAAATGTAAACCTTGGGTATAAAGAGACAGCCTAAGGTCACAGTAGCACTGATACTAATACAGATGCACAGACTAGAGACTTGGACCTGCAATATAAAGAAATAAGCTCATATAAGGAAACGTAAATGTAAAATAAAGTAGAAAAAAAAGTCCAATCAACTGTACTAGTGAACTTGTAGGATATCGATATCTCTTGACAAAGATGAAATAGCGAAGTATTGAGGAACAGGTCGTTATTTTATTTACATTAATAGAAATGTCTCGTAATAAACTTCAGTTTGTGTTAAACAACGTTAAGAATAAAAGTGTCCAATAAAATCTTAAATTAAAAGAATAATAAAACTTTTGGCTTTAGAATTTTACAATACTGGAACTTTTTGCGGAATTAATTACTTTTAGTGTTCATTATAGAAAAAAAAGACGAAAAGCGTCATATAAATAACTCGATTTTGAAAAAGCTTTTATCAAACAAAGCCAATTAGAAATTGATTTCAAAACAAAATAAAAAGTTTTAATGTATAGAAAGTAATATTTTTCAATCTACTTAAATGTCACGATATCATTAGAGCATTTGTATTTCAAAAAGATGAATGTTCGCAAAAATAATGGGCACTGGAACCTCAAGAGACTCTGGAAAGGAACAAGGTCTTGAATCATATGTAAATAAAAATTATTTTATAAATCAGAAAAAAAACAACTATTTCTGAATAATGAGAAAACAATAGATATTCTTAATACGGATTAAAAATGTGGAATTTAAAAACCGAGTCCAATAAATGTTGAACAATTAAGAAAATGAAAAATTAGGTGTGCAAAATGTGAAGGTTAAAAATTCAAAAACTCCATCGAAAGACAAAATGCGACAGTAAAAACTTTTAAAAATACTACTTTAAAAAGTACCCATTTTGTGCAAATACAATTGAAGAAAACTTTGTTTGCCACTTTAATTATTGGGCTCTGCGTGGCCTAGTGCTTAGCCCACCGAACTGTAGATCTGAGGGTTCAAAGTTGCCGTACAAAATATCATGCTCTGCACTTTGGGGCTGTGAGTGCGTTAAAAGAGCAACGTCAAATTTCTGAGCCAAAACACTTCAGTTACTTGTACTTTTGTTTCATATATTCGCGCAAAGCTATACAAGGGCTATCTGCGTTTGTCGTCCCTAATTTTGAATTGATAAACTAGAGAGAAGGCAGCAAGTTAACAACATCTACAGCAAACTCTTGGTTACTCTTATGGAATAGTGGGATTTGATCTCTAATCTTATAACTCATTCACGGCCTCAAGCAGAGTACGAATTCTTTACGGAAACGGGACGCAAACCATGGACCCTCGGTCTCACAGTCTGGCACTTTAATTCCTTAAAATAAATACATCTATAAATTGAATACTAAAAAGGTAGCACATAATCAAACTTCAATCTTGTGATATAATACAAACTTTCAACTATATATTGGCTAAAAGTTTAATTTATCGGATAAAGAATCATTAATGAATTGTTGTTATGTTCGTTGTTACATGTGGTATAAATCAAACCCTTTGGTACGACTTAACAAATCTATAACCTTATATAAATGTCAGAACGCCTAACTTTCCTGTTAATACTAACACAAGGGACGTATCTATATATGTAAACTTTTATGAACTAATTAGTAAAGCAATTATGAGTAGTTCTGGTTTTTAAACATTCCACTACAAAGAAGTTTAATGATTTTACCCAAGATGAGTAAAAAGCTAAGAAAAAAAATAAAAGTTAGCATCTATTCTTATAGCGCAGTCCACAGAAAGAGTTGCGTTCAAAGTTTGATGTGTTGCCATTAGCGCTCATTTGGTTGTATTAGTTTGTTTTAGTACGAGAGGTTTGATGTAGACTAGTCTTATAGAACAGTTTACGAAACGGGTTCAATTGAGTACAACGTTTGATGTGTTGTCATTAGCGCTCATTTAGTTGTATTAGTTTGTTTTAGTACGAGAGGTTTGATGAAGATTAGTCTTACAGAACAGTCTACGAAACGGGTTAAATTGAGTACAAAGTTTGATGTGTTGTCATTAGCGCTCATTTGGTTATATTAGTGGTAATGTTTTACTTTGTTATTAGATTTAAATGTATGTAACAAGTTATATTTGGAATGATGAAAATAAACATAAAGGTAGTGAAATATTGTACCAGGTCTTCTTATGTATTCATTTCTATCCAGACTTTATATACAAAATTACAGAAGGAACGTTAATCGCTGACATGATAACAAAAAAAAAACTCTTAAAAAAAGGTGTTAGATGATTAGAATAAAAAACAACGATTACGTTCATAAAATATTCTGTAAAAAATTTAAATATGTATATATGTTTATATTCTTTTATAGAATATATCATATATATATATATATATATTTAAGGCTTATAATGTGTTCATCCCAATTTCATAAAATCTATATTTACACACTGAAAAGGTTTCCGCTAACGTTACCTTGAAGTCGTTATTTGTGCTGAAGTAGATTGGTATGAAAGCCAACCACACGATGCACGTGGAATACATAGTGAAACCGATGTACTTGGCCTCGTTGAAATTCTCGGGAATTTGTCGCGTTTTGAAAGCGTAGACTGTGCACAGTACTATCAACACCATGTTGTAAATGAGAGATACGATCATTGAAATGCTGGAGATGCCACACTGTAGAACAGCTGAGGTCCTCGTCGGATAAGTCTCTCGTAGCTTCGGAGGCTCCACTATAAGCCAAGCTATGGTGAATACTAACTGCACCGATACAAATCCGAGACAAATGAATATCTGGGATCCTGGAGTGGTGTAGCTAGGCCTTTTGATACTACGAATACCCTGGTTAAATATTCGCGAGATTCGATTTGTTTTAGTTAAAATAGCAGAGTAGCAGAGACTGAGACATAATCCTAAACCTATTCTCATCAACGTACAGATGACAACAGTTGGTTTGGCCAGGATTATGAAACTCATGCAATAACTAAGTACTAGACCTAAAAGGAGCATGTAACACAACTCTCGTCCAGATGCCATAATGATTGGAGTTTTACTAAAATACAGAAAAACACTGAATGTAAAAATTGTGCAGAAAATTCCCAACGCCGCAAAAGCCGCTGGAATAATAGTCCAGGGGCTGTCCCAGGTCATGAACTCAAGAGGAACTTTGATGCAGCTGGTTTTATTTTGACACGGTAGGTAACCCTCGGGACAGTAGGAACACTCGTTGTTGAATATGTACTCATCCTCTCGACAGGCAATGCACATCCAACAACAGGAATATTGCTGGAACTGTTGGATGTGACCGAGTGGACAGTGGTCACTGCAATTGGACATGGGAACTACATTATCGTTGCCTTTCCACCGAACAAGATCCAGGTTAAGGGTGACTCTGAAATTATGAAAAGAAAACGTATTTAAATTGTGATTATTCCGTACGATCAAGGCGCTAAGATTGAAATACGTCATTTGGTGTTACTTAAAATAAACGCATTAAACATTTAATTCAACAGTGAAATTCACAACAGAGCGTTATAGGGATATTAATATTAGAACTGTATTAAGTAATTTATGCTATACGTTGTCTGGTACAATACAGTCTTATTCAGGACTGTAGAACAGGGGTGGTTCGGCATAGCCTCTCTCACCCCCGTTTCTCCGTCCAGACGAAAGAAAAAAAAAGTTCGTTTGAAGTTACTCACAAAGCTACACAAAGGGCTATCTGTGCTCTGCCCACCACGGGTATCGAACCCAGTTTCTAGCGCTGTAAGTCCGCAGACATACCGCTGTGCTACTGGGAGGCCAAAAAATAAGAGAAAGAGAGAGACAGGGTGGGAGAGAGAGAGAGAACAGAGATAATATTTTTCTAAAGCATAACGTATGTGTGTATGTTTGCAAACTGTATTTATATTGAAAAAATACTGTATTTTTGTAATGAGGCTTTTCCATTAAAATTGCTAAAAAATCTGAGTTCAATTTAAAAAAAAAACGGAAAAACACCCAAAACATTAAGTATTCAGCCAAACGGAATACTAGGAGTGTCAATCGTTTTTTTTTTGGGGGGGGGGTATTTTTCTGATCATATCTCCCCCAATCAGAAACCCTGGTTACGGCCCTGGTCTTATTAGATAAAAATAGAAATTATTTTATTTTCATAAAGGTTCACTTCATTAGGCTCATGACTAAAATATTGAGTTTGGGGGTATGTTGCTGGTTAACAATTGTTTTGAGGGATGTAACTGAGAAGTTTGATCACCATCTCTATGTTGCTGGCTAACAATGGTTTTGAGGGATTTAACTGAGAAGTTTGATCACACCTCTATGTTTCTGAGGGTAACGTTGGACTTTAGTTTGACTTGTGATTCAGTCTTCTTGTGATTTAGTGTTAAATTATTTTATTTCCTACAAGTATGTTTTTTTTAAAATAAATTTATTTTTGCACCATTCATTCCTTCCTTTTAAATAATACTTAGGGAATTAAAAAATAAACTTAGTATTCCGAAAATTATTTAATTTCGAAGTCTAAGTTCTAGGAAGGGCAGCTCAATCTACACTTTGATCAACGTGTGTTATTGGGTTATACTAGTTTCTGAGAATTCCACTCCTCATCAGTAACCCTGAACACAAGTTAACCAACGAGAGAGAAGCTGG